GTTCAATTTAGCTCTCTAACCTCGTAACAGTAAATATCTCATACAGTATTATACGAGCTTGAAAACGTACCTAAAGGGAAAAAATATCGTATCTGTACTAGGATACTGGTAATGTTGCAAACCCTTGCCTTAATGTCTAACTACTCCAACTTATAGAGGCCAAAGGTCAGAACGTCTTGTGATCCAATCTGACCGACACTACATAATTGATTGTATTTCAATATTCTACAATAAATTCTTGATTAATTAGCTTTATTAACAGTATTGTTTTAAATATTCAATTGTTTTCTGGTAATGGAAAACTCAAGTATTAAACCGAAATAATGCGAGATATGGTAACAGACTCTACGCCTGCCATCTTGAATTTAAATGTGCCTAACATAATGAACCCATATCAAATATTACGTTCACCACAATATAAACAGTTCACACTACATCTCATTACTCTGTTCATACACTGGAGTATGGAGTAGTATGGAGTCGATTGTCAACCGTCAACTCCTACGATACCTAGAAGTGAACCAGTTGATTTCTGATCGTCAGTATGGCTTTCGCCAGGGTCGGTCAGCTGGTGACCTTCTAGTGTATTTGACACATCGATGGGCAGAGGCTATTGAGAGTAAGGGGGAGGCCCTATCTGTTAGTTTGGATATTGCGAAGGCCTTACATCGGATTTGGCACAAAGCTCTTCTTTCAAAGCTACCATCCTTCGGGTTGCCTACGAAGTTATGCAAATACGAATTTCTGTGAACCTTCGACACCCTTTCATTAGTAACTCCCCAGATAACATAGATTTAAGTCAAATGTAAAAGAGTCTACGTCCGGACTCCGCGTCGAATGAACGCGTTACTAATAAGCCATGTATAATAGCACCACCAAATAAACTTACTTATAAGTTAAATGTACTACATCCGCGTCGAATGAACGCGTTACTAATAAGCCATGTAGCACCACCAAATAAACTTACTTATAAGTTAAATACTATATTAAACGGAGATAATGAGAGATGTGGCAGTAGACGCTCCGCCTGCCCTCTTGAATTTATATGTGCCTAACATAATGAACGCATATCAAATATTACATTCACCACAATATAAACAATTCACACTATATCTGATTACTCTCTGCCTACACTTGTAATATTTCTGTCAACACTCGACACCCTTCCATTAGTAACTCTCCAGATAACATAGATTTAAGTTAGTTGACGTTTAGCGGTTTAGCACACCGCTTTACGTCCGATGGTCGCGGGTTCGATTTCTCGCACGGCACAAATATTTGTATTCATGATTATGATTATTTGTGTCGGTCAGGATGTTGTCTATGTATAATATGTATGTATTTACGAAAAAAATATATGTCTATGTATTTGTATCAGTTGTCCAGTACCTATAACACAAGCTGTAGCTAGCTTAACTTGGGTGATAGATGGAACTAGATGGCGCTGTATGAATTGTTTTGAGATTGTTATTATTATTATAAGTGAAATGTAAAAGAGTCAACGTGTCGACTCCGCGTCGATGTACGCGTTACTAATAAGCACACTACCAAATAAACGTTCTTATGCACAATAAATGGTACAATTATTTCTCCTGTATACTCAGTACCACTACTATAAACAATATATTATGTAGCGACACCTCATCACATCATATACACATAACGCTATAGTAGTAAAGAGATAACCACAGCGCTAAAATTTCATCCAGGGTTACAGTCGTGAGGTACATTTTCCTAAACACAATTTTGGAATATGTTAACGTACTTCAGTAAAAACCCCAATATACCTGCTCCTTGGTCACGAGTCCCTGGATCTGCTTAGAGTTTAACGCACGTGTGTGTCACACGATGGAGCCGGCACCTGCACGATGATTCCATACAGTGCTAAGAATTTCGTCTTTCTAGGAAATTTTAGTATTACAAATTTGATTTCAAAAGGCAGTTATTAATTTTTAAAACTAATTTTTGTCGCTTTTGTAACTGAATGGATTTCGAATATTCTTTTTGCAATCGTTAGGATTTATCTCGTGTTGGTTATGCTTCACATTTTGTTAGTTTTAATCGGTTTACTAATAGGTTTTTTTGTGAAAACAAATATAATTGTAACGTTGTGATCAATGAGCAAATAAATGAACAGTGAAGTTATGTATCGTTTTCCTGTTCAATCTATCTATATGTGTAGGTTTATTTCTTATTATATAACAACAACTGTACCCGCGACTTCGTCCGCGTGGAATATACCTTTATTTTTTACAATAAAACATTTTTTCTAAAATAAAAGTAGCCTAAGTTACTCCTTATTACAGCAGCTACCTGTCAAAAAAAGCCCCGCCACAATCGGTCCAGCCATTTCAGAGATTAGTCGGAACAAACAGAGCGACAGAAAGACAGACAAACATTCTAAAAAATGTTATTTTGGTATATGTATCGTATATACATTCATATACATGTAGTAAAAAACGGTTATTTCAATATTACAAACAGACACACTAATTTTATTTAAGTATATGTAAAGATTTGCAATTATACCAAATTACGTATTTAAGATATTACATTAGGTTATTCCTGAAAAAATTGTTGTAAAAGTGGAAGGAAATAAATTTTATATATTTTTTTTTATAGATATAGACAAATCAGTATCATCACCCAATACTATACCAGTTGCTCCTTACTATGAAATTGTTTTTCCCTAAAGAAACTACACACAGACTTTTACATAATCTAATCTGCACTTTCTAGCTTGAATTTTGTTCTACACTTCTTAGAAAAGCGAGGAAAAGTTATCTCAGATACAAAAAGAAACAAATTATAAAAGCCATTAGGCAAAGTTACTTTAGAATTTTAGCGATCTAGTAGCTAAGTAACTGTATTATGTTAATTTTAATGTTTTTTTTATGTATATCTAATGGTAAAGGATAATGATGATGTTAAGCAGTAATCATCGCATATATAAAAAACAGAAAACACTATAGGCGTCACGTTATCATGTGATCCTCTAATACTACTCATGCATTGCCATTTCACAGGACTAAAATGTCTAAGGTTGCCAACTTTTTGACGCGGTTCTACTTAATAGTTGAGTGATTCAAGAGGAAGGTTTATATATATAATACATGTAGGGCGAGTAGCTAGTGAATAATAGAAGCATCTATTCAAAAGAGCAACACACAAGTTTCTTCCTCATTCTTCTTGTTATGACTCTGCGTTCCGAATAAAAAATATGACTATTAAAAAGTGCTTGTATTAAGTTTATTTCATTAAAGATTATTTCTATTACTATTTCTAATAAAAGAATGTACTTTATGTCACCGTGATTGTGCTGTTATCTATAAATAACTGGTTATATTATCTACATTGGGATTTCCCTCTCTTAAAATATGATAATAAGATCATTAGGTTAATAATTAGCGTCTATAAATAATCTAATTTATAACATAGTATTGTATAAACGTTGTTGTACAACGTCGTTTATATATATATGTCGTAGCAGGTGCAGTCAGGTAGGTTTTTAGATATAGTTAGGTTAGGTACTCTGACGTCACTTGCGTTATTCTCGACCAACATGGTCAAGAATATCTCAATTGTTTAACTCGTAGGTTACTGGCTCCACGGTGACTCAGTCACTCCGTCACTGTGTAATTCTGTAAGATGGTAACTCAGTAACTGACCACCTCAACCGTGTTCGAGTACAAGAAGACTTTTATATATATATATATATTTAACAACTCTTTATGTATTATACTTGAGAATTATAACCAACTGACTAGTTATTTTTAAAAACTATAAGAATGATAGTTGTTAATTGCATGTTTTGTTACTATAATTAGCATTTATGCTAACAACGTTGTCAGTCAATTGACTGCCCTAATTTCTGTAATAAATTATAGCAGACAATTGAGTATATTATTAAGTTAATCATAATGGTTTCTATAAATATTTATATATAACGGCAAATATTATAATTATAATTAAAACTGTTATTTTCAAAGATTTTGTGACAGTGCAATCCCCGAATCATGCCAGCGCCATTATATATATATATTTACTTGTATTATACCCATATATTTTTAAACTATAGGATGAACTCTATAGCAAATTTTATGCGACTAAAATGAGAGTACATTGTAAAATTACATTATATATCCAAACAGCAGACCTGGCCACGCGTTGCTGTGGCTAAGGTTCTTGAATAAAATAATATTGCAACTATAAATTGAGATGTAAGCTATCCTATCTTGCAAGTTGGATCAAATTGCACACAATGTGCATATCAAATTTGCAATCGGTTCAATAGTTTAGGAGTCCATCATGGACAAACAACGTGACACGTAGTTTTTATATATGTATAAGATAATATACTTCTAAATATTATCAAACATACTTTAATTTAAGCTGGTCATTAAAAATGCAGATTGAGATATCTACAGTTCTAGTTGTTTTTGCCAGTTCTACTCAACTGAAGTAGTCAGTCAAACTAGGATTTTTTTTTATTTATTTAGGACTAACAAACAGTAATACAATATTATATATACATACAATATGTGATGAGATGAAAGATAAATGTATCACCAACGACGTTAGTCATAGTTTATTTAAGACAATAATTATATAAACATGCAAATTTGGTTAGAGTAGTGGTAAGTTTTATACAAAGTTACAATTATCGACTTAAAATGCAACTTATTTATTAATATAAAGAAAGCATAAAATGAAATAAAATAATAATAATAATAAAAAAAAGGAATTACTAACAATAATATTAATATATATTAAGTTATGTGGGTATGTGACAAAGTCTAATCAACCATCTTTTTAAATAATGATGGTCTAGTGGCAAATATATCTATATTAGAATATATATATATATAAATATCTATATTAGAATTAGGAATAGCGATAAATACATGCATGTGGAAAAAATGTAGAATTTTTTATTTTTTTTTCCATATCAATGACTTCGAAATAATACATCTCTAATTATTTTCGATGTTTGTGAACAGCTTGGCGTCGCAGTCGGATTTTTCCTGCCACCAATGTTGGTGCGATCTCAAGGCACCATCGAGGAGATAGGCGCCGACCTGCAGCTGATGTTCTACATCGTGGCAGGCTTCACCAGCGTGCTCTTCGTCCTCATCCTTCTATGTAAGTTAGAAATTTTAGGCTACCTCGGTGGTCCAGCAGTTATACACACCGCTTTACTGCCGATGGTTGCGGGTTCGATTCCTCGCACAGTACGATCATTTATTAATCATTTTACACCGACTTCAGCGGCGTTGGCCCGTCCTTTATATGGTCTAGGGCAAGCCCATCTCGTTGATAGGGCGACCTATTCCCATTGTGAAAATGTGTGTACACGCGCACGCCACGGGGTCATTTAGTTGAGGATTGCCTCAACAGGGTACAGCAAAACTCAAAGAGGTGAGATTAAGTTTAGTACAGTTCCCTCTCGAAACTCACTATGGTACTACATGGTCTGGCAGGGTTTTTTTTCATGGATGGTAATGGAATGTCGCAGCCACCTACGCTAACAATTTAGGCTGGCAGGGCACCAGTGGAAGATGATAAGATGACCAGAAGGTTAGGTAATTTTTTTTTTATGATAATGGAATGGTGCACCCACCTGCGCTAACGGTTTACGCTGGCGGGGCACCAGTGGAGGATGATAAGATGAGCATGAGGTCAGGTCAGTTAGCCCATCGTGACAAGCTCACCAGGAATTTGTCACGATGGTTTCCAGGGGGAACCGCGTGGAGGTCAACCTGACATGGTACATTGCGAGCAATGGGGTTATCAATCCACATTACTAACAATGTCAATTTGCCCAACGTGATTAAATAATCAGAAATTAACCACGACGGTTTCCACGAAGTTGACCTGACATGGTACATTGCTGGCAATGGGGTTATCAATCCACATTACTAACAATCCCTTTTCCCTCCTGGTCTGTCGGGTTAAGTGATGTGATTTCATCATTAACCGTTCAGCCTTCACTGGTGTCGTGTACACAAACTTTAATCTTAATCTCCACAATTAGATTTAGTTGTTAAACACACGGTGTTATCTCGTATTTTATTCTTTGATGAGTGGAATTATTCAGATATCCCTAGAATATAATTATAAACTGCAATGAGTCAAACATAGTTTTGTTTTGTTAACAATGTTGAAGTTGATTTTTTTATTTACTTGAATAGATGTAAGTGGTTTTTAATATTATTTTTTTAATATATTGTATAATAACATTAAACCTTCTACAGTTTAATAATAAATAAATAATAATAATAATAATAATCTCAGGACAATTCAAACAGCGCCATCTAGACCCAAGTTAAAGCTTGTGTTATGGGTACTAAATCACTTATAGAAATACATAGATATTTTTTTTCGTAAATACGTATATTACATAGAAAACACCCAGACCGACACAAACAAATATAATGAATACAAATGTTTGTGCCGTGCGAGCAATCGAACCCGCGACCATCGGAAGTAAGGCGGGTGTGTTAAACTACTACACCACCGAGGAAGTCGAATGCCTACAGTTTATAAATAATTTGACAGCTTCGTTTTAATATATTGATACTGATATTTTTTTTTCATCCACTTTCAGTCTTCAAAGCGGCGCCCCCCACTCCGCCGTCGGCCGCCGCTGACCTCGGCTCAAGCTTAGACTCCAACTTCCTGCAGTCTATAAAGAAGCTGCTAACCAACAGGAACTATGTTCTGCTGCTCATCTCGTATGGTCTGAACGTGGGAGTGTTCTACGCTATATCAACTCTTCTGAATCAGCTGGTTCTTACGTATTATCCGGTGAGTAGTATTTAATATACAGCCTGAAAGAAGGAGATCCTTTCAGGCTGTCTGTCCCGCAGTCCCTAGTTAGAGTAACAGTGTAAAAGCAGAACTAATACAAAGAATAATTGACGGTCTCAGTGGTCTAGAGGTTTAGAATACCTTAATTATGCTGATCGCGGGTTCGATTCCTCTCACCGTACAAACATTCATGAGTATATTTTATTTATATTTTATTTATATTTACCAGAAAAATGTCTCTAAGTATTTACATTTGTTGTCTAGCACCAATAACTCAAGTTCTGCTTAGCTTGGGGTTAGATGGCGCTGTGTAAATGTTTTGTGAATGTTTGTGGTTTCACACATGATAATGTTAGCAGAATTATACAAAATAATGTAAATACATTAAGTAAACTTCTTTTTCATTTCAGTATCATAAAATGACATAGATTCAAATGTCTATTTAATAAAGCCTTCCATTCATTCTCATTATTTATTGACTGTACTACAGGTACAAACACGAAACTCTACCGTCATTGCTGCTTAATTACAATTGACCTGAATAACTCCTCAAAACATTGCACAGTAGAAAACCATTTCAATGTACATACAAAATTGCCTTATAAAACTTCACAAACAAAAGGTCTAAATTATACTTGAACAATAATAATAATATAATAATCTCAGGACAATTCACACAGCGCCATCTAGTCCCAAGTTAAGCTAGCTAAAGCTTGTGTTATGGGTACTAGATAACTGATACAAATACATAGATTTTTTTTGTAAATACATACATATAATATAGAAAACACCCAGACCGATACAAACAATTATACTCATGAATACAAATGTTTGTGCCGTGCGAGGAATCGAACCCGCGACCATCAGACGTAAAGCGGTGTGCTAGACCGCTAGATCACCGAGGTCGTTGAACAAATATTTGTGTACCAAATTTCATTTAAGTCTGTCCAGTAGTTTGCCATTTAAATTACGGTTAATAAACTAACCCAAAATATTCAAGGAAAAAGTTTCATCATTCTAGCTTCAAAAATGATTAATTTCCATAAAAACTTACATAGCATATTTTATTTTACCCCCAAAAGGGTATTTTTTTACAAATTTTGAATGACATATTTATTTATATTTAATCAACAGTCTAAAAATTTCTTTGGCACAAACATACAAAATACAAAATAACAATAAGTCTACGTCCAGTGATCAAATTGAACAAATATTTGGTTGTTTCATGCATACAAATGGTAACAGAATTAAACAAATTAATTATATACGAACCAAGAGTAACCTGACATTGAGGGTGACGCAGCTGGAGTCGAGTTACAACGCGAGTTTCAAGGCGTTTGTAGCCCGGGTCCATGCTGTCCACCTTCATGAAGGAGGACTACTGGCCGAAGGGTGTGGTGTATCAGCGCTATCGTGACAGATTGCCATCGTTAGTTTTACAATATTATTTCATATGTATGTTAGTCTATAAGGTATTTATAATATGGACCTAGTAGCCTGAAATAAATAAATAAATAATTAAAATAAAACAGGGAGCAAACGAAGATGCAGGAAGAATAGGGCTGGTGATCGTGGTAGCTGGTATGATCGGATCCGTCGTGTGCGGTCTGATCCTGGACAAGACGCACAGGTTCAAGGAGACAACCCTCGCCGTGTATGCTGCCTCCGTTGTGGGCATGATCATCTTCACGTTTACCCTCGACTGCGGTATTATTGGAGTGGTGTACCTTAGCAGTATTTTACTTGGGTAAGTTTTTGTTATATCCTTACTATTCAATATATGTTATAAGGGAATTGTTAGTAATGCGGACTAATGATACCATTGCTAGCAAAGCACTATATCAGGTCGACCTCCATGCGGTTCCCACCGTGATAAATTCCCGGTGAATTTGTCACGTTGGGCTAACTGATCTGACTTCATGTTCATCTTGTCATCCTCCACTGGTGCCCCGCCAGCGTAATCCGTTAGCGCAGGCGAGTGCACCATTCCATTATCAACCTCTAATATATATATATATTTGTATATACGCAATAGAAATCCCGTACTCTTCAAGTCATTACAAATAAATAAAATTGAAATGTCTGTTTGTAATTCCCAATTAACAGCTCACTAAATGCATATGAATAGTGTATGTGGTATTTACATCAAAAATTAATTTTAAACATTTTTTTGTCTATCTGTCTTCTGTTTGTTATTGTTAATCGCTAAAACGGTTCGACCGATTTTGACAGAACTTTCATTCGCCGACAGCTAATATTATAAGGCGTAACCTAGGCTACTTATATTTTAGAAATTTTATTTATTTTAATTCCACACGGACACGCAAACGACTTTGTACAAAGTGTACCTCAGTAATATTATGTTATCTGTGGTAATATACTTGTAATATATATAATGGTCTAGAAATCTAGATATTTTATAGGGTTAATACTCAAAATATACTAACATTGAATAAGTAATCTAAGTGAGAGAGCCCAGATAAATTATGCTGTAAGCAATTCTTGGATTATCGAAGTGACAGTTATGGATGAGAGCTAATGACTCATGATCGTTTATATTTGTATAATATCGAATTGAGTGCCTATTTCCCTTTGAGAAAACGTTAATCGATATTTTAGGTGAATGGAAACTGAAATTATTTACATAAAAGAACATATTGATCCATGTTTTTTTTATTTACATGTATGTAACTACGTGCTTACAAAAACTGTATTTAAGTATATCAAATTCAAAATATCTTTATTCATGTAGGTCTACTACAGACTCTTATGACATATCAAATCTACCGTCAGTTCGGAATGATTTCGGGATGAGAAGAACTGAGAAGAAACTCAGCTCGTATTTTTTTTTTAATGTTGTACTTTTTTACAATAATACAATTTCATTTAAATTAAAATTTGGGAGAATAGAGTGACCACCAGCATATGCTATATAAAAGAATAAAAAAAATCAAAAAATCTAATCAGTGTTCGCAACCTGAACAGACCAGTCCCCACAAGCAGCACCCGTTCACGAGTATGACGGATGAGCCAGCCATCATTGCACTTAACAATATTAGAGGGAGCACATGGACCAGGCCTCGATCGACCACGCCGCCACATGTTTGAACTTTATAGCGAGCATGACTGTTTCAAGTTACTCCACTACGTCATATATATTATTTACAGCATAAATTGTACCAATCACTATTTTCACCCATTACAATATTTAATTTAGATTATTTAAATTATATCATCATACTTACTATCATCAATGTAGTACCCCTAACATTTTTACCGTGGGGGAAAGGTGATTGTTAGTAATATGGACTGATGTACTTATTGCTAGCCATGTACCATGTCAGGTTGACATCCACGCGGTTCCCCCTGGAAACTATCCTGACAAATTCTTGGTAAATTTGTCATGGTGGGCTAACTGACCCGACCTCATGCTCATCTTATCGTCTTCCACTGGTGCCCCGTCAGCGTAAAACGTTAGCGCAGACGGATGCACCATTTCATTATCATCCATAAAAACATACCATAAGGTCTTGCAAAGTTGTAAGTACAGCTGTGGGGTGTATAAAAACAGCACTGAGGACTGTATATTCTCCCATTCTACCAACCAATCCGATTATAGTTGTTAACTTTTTTTTTCGGACTACTCTAATGCTGTTGGCCGTAACTGGCCTTTACAGCTTCACCGGACGTTAGGGGGCGAGTGCAGATGGCACTCCAAACCCGCGGAAGGACTTATGGCGCGGTTGAAGGCGAACTCCTGCCTGACGGATACGACTTTAGTCTGAGGGCACCACTAGGGGTTCGAACCTCGGCTCAGGCCGTCGTAATTTCGATCCCCGTTTGAATTGGACGGGAATTGGAATTTGATTGGAGATCCATCGGAGGGGCGCCCGGGGGCTCCGGTGTGGAGCGCCCGGGCGCGTGCAGGCGCCCGGTTGAATGCGCGATATTGTGTGTTTGAGGTCTCCGTCTTCGCCGGCGAGGACGGTGTCGTGTGTGTGTGTAAAAGTGTGGTCGGGGTGGAACGGGTGGGCCCGTGGGGACTAGTTGTTAACTATCGTGTGGGTACCATTAATTAAAAATGGTAAAGTCAATAATCATGCTTCTTTAGTTAAGGCAGTCAGAGTAACCTGAAACGAAACGGCAGAGGCTAGAGCTTAAATAATATTTGTGACATTGACAAGTAGATTGATGGATGGATTGAATGAACTGACGCGGCGGTAGTTTGGAGCGAAAGGTTGGAGCATTTGTTATTATGAAACAAACTAGCTTTTGCCCGCGGCTTCGCTTGCTTTAAGAAGTATTATTATTAATTAGGTATATAGGTTTTCGCGGCTTTACAGTACTTTCATACAAACTTTCATCGCCTATTTTATCCCCTTAGGGGTGGAATTTATCAAAATCCTTTTTTAGGGGATGCCTACGTCATAGTAGCTTTATGCATGCTAAATTCAACCCTATCCGTCCAGTGGTTTGGGCTGTGCGTTGATAGATCACTGTGTCAGTCAGTCACCTTTGAGTTATATATATTTAGATAAGAAATATGTAATTGTGAATATAGTAGGCATTAGGGGATTTATTAGTTGGGACTGGGAGGATACCACAAGTAGTGAACGTGAGTGTTAATGTATTCTAAAAAGGCCCTTTAAACCTACACCCGTGTCACAAGTCTCGGGCGCTACTTGGGGTTTCTCTCCTTGGCCAATCGGCATCACGCCTAAGTAGTCAGGATAACTAGTGAATTTAATATAGTAAACTTACTGATTACGAATATAGAGAGAACAATATATATATTTAACTCGTCCCGGCTTCGCCCAGGTGTACATGTATTATATATATAAACCTTCCTCTAGAATCACTCTATCTATTAAAAAACACCGCTTCAAAATCCGTTGCGTAGTTTAAAGATTTAAGCATACATAGGGATTTTGTTTTATACTATGTAATGTACAGCCATCGGCCTATTACCATTATTATATGTACTATAAAAATATCAACTCCATGTACCGGTAAATGTATGTATTAGAGTCACTAGTTATGACGACGAGTTAGGCTTTGATGCCGGCTACCGGGAGAGAAACCCCAAGTAGCGTCCGTGACTTGTGACAGCGTGTAGGTTTAAAAGGCCCTATTAGAATGCATTAACTCACATTCACTACTTGTACCTCTCCAGTCCCAACTAAATCCGTCTCTAATAAATTTACTTTAGTATTCAAAATAAAACTGTTCTGTGCTCGTCGACCGAATGACGTGGCTTACAAAAATTCCGTCCTCTCAAACATAGATGCGTAGGGGTTATACGCAACTAGTTTAACGATACCGAGTAATAATGTAACTACCTTCTTTAAATATTTTTAAATTACCGGATTTTTCTCCAATATCGCTGCGAACCCTAACTGTATCTATACATCTTTGTTTGAATACACTCATGCATCCATCTGTAAGAAATACTATCTCATTACATTACGCCCGAAACGCTCCTCGAACGCAATCACAGGCTTTTACCTCCCACATAAATCTGAAGTACTCATCACGCACAAAAGAGATAGAACATGCCCGACTAATAGGGTAAACAAATTTAGGGCCATTGGGTTTTCCCCATTTTCGTAATAAGATTTCCTCTCGTCGCTTTCACTAACATGTCTATGAATAAATTATTTCTTAGCGATGTAATCCATCATGTGAATAGATATTTTGGTGGAAAGGAAAGTTCTGTATATTAGTTTTGTTATATAGTATTAGATGTGTGCACCAATAGATTTTTATACAAATAAGATGTAGGCTTCTACCAATAAATACGTAGATAGATTGATAGATAAAACCACCCTCCGATCGATCCCCCATCCAATTCAAACGGGGATCGAAATTACGACGGCCTGAGCCGAGGTTCGAACCCCTATTGGTGCCCTCAGACTAAAGTCGTATCCGTCAGGCAAGAGTTGGCCTTCAGCCGCTCCATAAGTCCTTCCGCGGGTTTGGAGTGCCATCTGCACTCGCCCCCTAACGTCCGGTGAAGCTGCAAAGGCCGTCTGCGGCCAACAGCATTAGAGTAGTCCGAAAAAAATAGATAATACTTATATTTGCCTTAAAGAACATATAATATTCAGTCAATCCTTATAGCAAAATTTTTCGTTCAACTCTTAAGAATCGTATAGCATGTTAACTTTAAGTGGGCAATGGTGGCTGAGATACAGGCTAGGCCTAGTTTAGACACTACTGCACTGGACTTGGTATTAAATAGTTTTAAGAACTATTGTATATATATGGAATTAATATAGATATATAACCTTTGTTAACTCAATTTTGTATTTATTTTTCTTGCACAATAAACTTATTATTATTAATCGAGGTATACAAAAATAAATAAAAAGATGCAAAGTAAACATACAAATACATTGGTCAGTTAACTATACAAATACAAACAACGTGTGAGTAATATAGTGTGTGTGCATCATCCATACGCAAAAAGGCAGCACTTCTGTGCAACATTTGCTCAAGCAAAAAAACTAGTAATTTTCCAACATTATCCAGGGAGAAGTATTGCTTATTGATGTTATAGTACGAGTCTTATAGTTAATAGAAGGTATTTCCCTCGATCCCCTGTCCTAATCCAACAGGGATCGAAATTACGACAGCCTGAGCTAAGGTACGGTCTGCGTAGGTCAAGCGTACTTCTCAAACTTTAGTCATATACATCAGGGAGGAGGTGGCCTTCAGCCGCTCCATAAGTCCTTCCGTGGATTTTGAGTGCCATCTGCACTTGTGTGCCTATCGTTCGATGAAGCTGTAAACGCCAGTTGCCGCCAAAATCATTAGAATAGTTCGAAAAATGTATGCATAAGGATAGGGGTTGTTTGTTTTTCTACTTAGAATAGCAATCAAACTGAAGATACGTGTATTTCTATCAGTTGTCTATACCCATACCACTACCTCTGCTTATCTTGGGACTAAATGGCGCTGTGTGAGTTGTACCGGGTTATTATTTTTATTAAGACACTTAATCATCTATGGACATAATTTTTTTTGTCATTTTTAATCGTGATATTACTACGTATTTCAGGTTCTTCATGACAGGTTACCTACCGGTCGGGTTTGAGTTCGCCTCCGAAGTGACATACCCTGAGCCCGAAGGCACCACGTCAGGGATTCTGAATGCTGTTGTTCAGGTATTTACAGTTTTTTTTGTTAAAGCTTACAAACAATGCTATAAAGAGAGTTATATTTACTTGGGTGGTAGTAGTTAGTTTGTATATTATATACGCGGAAGTTTGTCAGTATGGATGGATAGATGAATGTATGGATTTCTGTTACATTTTCACAGAAAACAAATAAAAATTCTGAATGGATTTTAATGCAACAATATAATATATATATAATAGCTTATACATCAGAATAACACATAGACTATAAACTTAATAGCTAGTATAATATAAATCGATATATTCGATAAAATATATTAGGGGGAAATTACCATTTCTGAGAACTAAGGATCACATAAAATAGTTTCTTCTACATCTTTTTTTATATACTACTATGGTAGCCAACTAGCATACAGCCCATCTGATGGTGAATGGTTACCGTAGCCTATGGACACCTGTAACACCAGGGGTATTACGTGCGCGTTGCCGACTCTTAAGAAACCTTAATGTACCCTTCTTGAAAAACCCCATGCTGTAATCTCGTGAGAAAACCTCGGCAGGAGGTACATTTCACAATCTAAGTGTACGCGGGAGGAAGCATCTCCAAACCGCACTGTCCGCGACCACTTAAGTTCTAGCGTGTGGGGATGAATTCCCTGTCGACGGCGAGCAGTGTGATGGTAAAAAATACCCGTAGGCATCATGTCGAACAATTCTTCAGAACCCAGTCAGTTATATATACAATGAGATTCAAGGAATTCACGTCATTTCTCATTTCAGGCATTTGGTATTTGCCTCACTCTGGCATACGAGTGGATGCTGGGCAATATAGGTGACCGCTGGTCCAATCTGACGCTGTGTGCCATCCTGGCGGTCGGCACAGTCATCACCGCCTGCATCCGCTCCGACCTACGGCGACAGGCCGCACAGAACAAAGGATAAACCACCTTATTATCTACACTTTAGAGTTGTTTCAACAGGGATATGTTGCGGTTAAATAGCAAATTCAACGTGCACTAGTATGGTTGTGTGTGTGAATGGATATAACCTATTTATTTTGATGTTTTTTGTCCGAAGGATAAACCACCTTATTACATACACCGTAGAGTTGTTTCAACAGGGATATGTTGTGGTTAAATAGCAAATTCAACCTACTGCATATGGTTGTGTGTGAATGGATATAACCTATTTATTTTTATGTTTATTGTAAGGCCTATAAGGTATATAATTGCTTGAGTGATAGTCCGGATGGTTTATATTTGACATTAGTAAATGCGTCTAGACACAATTTGGATTGGTTGGGTCAATCTGTTGGGTTCAGATAAGTGAAGGCTATTTATTATTGTTCAACTTTAAAGATCGACTGTAAAAATTAAGCATTTTTACTACCTTGGAAATTTCTCCCAAAAATACTATTAGCAGTGATGCCAGATTGGAGTTTTCCCACAAATGTGGAAGTATTTTGTTATGATGGGGTAATTCGGGGGGAACAAATGTATTATCCCTAATACATTTGTTCCCCCTGTAGTGGTAGTAGTACTTAGTACATTTTTTGAGGGGAAAGAAGTACTAGCACAAAAAATAGTCTTCAGAACACCAGACTTGTTTATTGAAAGTATTTGAACAATATTTGAGGCGTATATAAGGGAAAACCAAGACAAGCTTTAAAGAAATGGTTGTCAGGACTCGGATTTCTTTATTAGGAGTATTCTTCATAAGTGAACAATTTTTGAGGTGTATATATAGTCGACTGGCAACACTGGCTATTGGATAATACTGTCTGAAGTTCGCTGGATATCTGGACAAGAAGTTTGAAGAGAATGCACGATCTCAACCGAGTCGACAGATTATGTGCCGAATTGTCTCGTCTATAGATGCTTTATATTTTTGAATTATATATATGTATGTTAGTAATTAACACGGTTCCTCGTAGTTATGACACAGTAGTTCAAATATTCGAAGTTCATAAAAACTGTCTTAACTTATAATTTGGTCTTATTCGCAGCTGTGAATCGGTAATTCAAATATTGGGATTCAAAACTATTCTATCTTTTAATTTAGTCTACATTGTACCCAGTGGGTCTAATGTTATAAAGATTGCTTAAGCGTTTCTGGAGTTTATCCCGGACAAACATTCTGACGCGTGATTTTTTTATATAAGGATTATGTTGATTACTAGAACAGGAATGAATGGAAGAGAAAAACATATTATGCCGACCCCGAGTAAATGGGATAAGGAAGAAGCAGATGATGATGATATGTTAATTTCTATAAATAGATCTGAATATTCGGCCTACAGCAACATATCCCCATGTATTTGTTTAACTTTAACTTAGTGATTAAGTCATAGGAGCTAATTTTCAATTGTGACAATAATGTTGTGGGACTGTACCATAAGTAATTTGCCAAATATTTATACGATCAAATTTATCTAGAAATTTACATGTATTTTTAGACGTAGACAATATATAGATAATCTGTTTAGTAGATTAGATTGTATTTTTATTATATCTGCTCAGGATTGTCTTAGACACCGTAGTGGATAAAAAACGTTAATATAGAATTTTAGTCTATGATATGGTCGTAGACAGAGAAGGTATTGACGAATAATATAAATGATAATAGTATAGAAGCGTGGGAGAGAGACGGCAATATATATTTATTCATACCAAAGTTTCAGAACCTATATATTATATAGTCAAGATAAAAAAAAAATGACAGTTAATAAAATTTTCAAATAATTATTTAAAAAAATTAAATGTAAGAAGATTTTGTCATTACACTGTCGCGGAAAGTATTAATTTTAAAGGGAAAGAAGTAAGCGAGCTATATAGATTCTAGATTATAATCTTTTCTTAATTAATTTGTTGTGCAAATCATTTTACGAGTCATGCTTTAGTTCTCTATAAGAGGACTTTTCGATTAAAAATTCAAATATTAAAAGAACTTTGGTAATTGGAAAATGAAAGAATTTAAAGAGTTACGAAACTTCAACTGTAATCAAATTGGAAATCAAAGTTTTCTATAAATGTTTTTCCCCATCGTCCAGTATACGGGTTCAATTAAAAAGAACTGACAAGAAACTCAATTAAATTTCTATTTTTAAACCAGTTTGTTTACATTGTTTCCTTATATAGGTGTTTATCTTCGTATCGAAAGTTTCGAAGGACATAACAATATTTTAGTAAGATTAGAACAATATACGAAACAAACAACTAGAAAGGTTTAGAGTCTAAAGGAATATTATCCGTCAGGTGGGAGTTGCCCTTCAATTGCGCTATAAGTCCTTCCGCGGGTTTGGAATCCCTTCTGCACTCGCCCTCTATCGTCCGTTGAAGCTGTAAAGGCCAGCTGCGGCCAACAGCATTAGAATAGTCCGAAAAAAAAAGAACAACGTATACATTTGTTCACAATACATTCCAATAACCGAAGAATGCTTTTAAAATATACTTACAATTCCAATATTGGAGAAATAAAGTCTTAATACTTAGATTTTTAATAGTATTCACGCAAATATAGATTCTAGTGTTCTAGTCTAATAGATCTTCTACGAATCTTTACAGAGATGAAAATATTTAGTACAATAATGTAATAGACCTCTTACGAAACTTTACAGAGATGAAAGTATTTGGTACAAAAATGTAATAGATCTCTTAAGAAACTTTACAGAGATGAAAATATTTAGTACAATAATGTAATAGACCTCTTACGAAACTTTACAGAGATGAAAATATTTGGTACAAAAATGCTAATTTTGTTATTAAACGAAAAATATAGTTCAAAATGTTAATCATATACAATCGTACACAAAACACATTGCACAAATTTGCAATTTTTAAGAGCATTCGTATAATACTAAATTACAAAGTAACAGTAGTTCAGTACCTTATAATCATAATTACTCTACCTATATAAAAATTAAAATTTATTAAATACATCTGAAAATACGAGTATATAACAAAAGGATGCCTTACTGCTTTTTTCTCTTTATTTTGGCAACAAACAGTCATTACATAAATATACAAATAAACGTATTTTTACAATAGACATTGAGTGGCGAAAATTTTTACATAATAATAGAGTGAGCCTATTGGACTAATATAAAAACATTTCTTTTAATGAATGCCATAACTTACATTTTTCTTTTTTGTATCAGCAATCTGTTGCAGACAGCAACAAAATATCCATTTGATTTCCAAAGTGTTTAATGGCAGAGTAGAATCATTCAGATGTCAATAAATAAATAAGAATAAAAATAAAGTTTATAACTGTACCGTGATTTTGAAAATAAATGTGCAACTATTTGAGGTTTTTTAAATGAGTGTACACACGTTCCTAAAATCGGCGGTGATATCAGATCTATAGTTATAGTTTTTTTTACCGTATTTAAAAATCTTCAAAAGACCATCTATCCATACATCTGTCTATCCGTCTACCCATCAGAGGTGAGACTGGTGGAGATATTGAGTGGATTATAGCAGCGAATATAATTTAATCTTGTTTTCATCACGTTTGAACGTTACATATATCTGTTACTTAGCAACAGGATGCTTATTTTAAATGTGTAGATTGGACTTTTTCTTCTAAATTCAATGTGCCTAATAGAGATATGGGGATGTGTGATGTTCTTACCTCATACACCCCTTCACACTAAATCATATATTAAGCGATCAATACCACCTACCTACCTGCTTAACATTGATATCGCCACCGATTTTAAGAACGTGTGTTGACGCTTTAAATGTTAGACGACATTAGCGAAGATTGTGATTGTAACTTCTGTATATTTTGTGAATGTATTTAAAAAAACATAACTTGATAGCTATATTATAAAAATTATATTCAATAAATGTTAGTTTATAGCCGCTGTAGGCATTTGTTTTATCTAAGGCTTGTGAGTAGTATCTATCCAGCTTAAAGTGAGAAATAGGTAATGTAATACCTAGTGTTCCATAGAAGTGTAATAATTGTGATTACCTATTGAAAACTAGTAACAATGAGATTCGATCTATGTGAATCTGTATTATAATATTAAAATGTAGATTTTCATGTGGTATTATTATGTAAGTAATATGGTTGCCTATTAATTTTTATGCATTCCTTAAAGTAACATGTAATTCTGGCCTCACATTCCCGGTAAGTCGGACGGCCCGTGCCACCGTGTCGGATTGGCGTATACGTTGCTACGCCCCGCCCTCTTTGGATATGCGCCAATTGAACGGCGTCGTTGGTTCGTTCAGTCTGGCATTAAAAATGTAGGCCTATTATAATCTGTATTATAGATAATATTAATATGTATTAAACCCAATTATTATTAACTTGACATTATAAATTGTCAGTATTTTTCTAATGATTATTAGACAAGTATGTGTGTTTTAGAATGTTTATAAACGTCAAATTGTGTCTTTGCAAATGATTATTTCAATGTAATACTGCTATTGCAACTTATATAATACAAATTATTGATTACAAAATCTTTCAAAGTTCTTTACGTCTAGTTAACGTGAATGGATTATAATAAAAAATTTAAATGTGTATGCATTAGAGTATGATCTATCTGTAATAACATATAATAAAAATATATATTTAAATATGATATAGTTTATGAAGTTTACATCCAGGACAATAATTTAGTAGGTTTGCACTATTAGTCTACAGTAAAAATATAGTTATGACTTTAGAACTGTTTGCAAATCCAATAAAAGAAAATATTAACCTATTTTTGTAACATAATATAAAATTAAAATTCATAGAAATGTTTATAACACTTTTCTGGAGCATAACATGTAAAAATTACGTTTTTTGGTGATATACTTTTAAAATATCGAATAATTTTTTTGCCTAAGTATTATAAGCAGTTTTAAACTACCATTTTTAAATGCATCAGAATTTAAATTAAATGTGTAGGTACTCTAAATAGATATGTCTTACTCGTGCTAATTGAATATAATAATTAAATGACAATAAAAGATGGGTATACCTACAGAAATTAGAGGCCTTTGTTATAATAAAAAAAATATAAAAAAAATATCTATATATCTATCTCATAGATAGATATAACTTATTTCAGATGTCTTATGAGGTCAACCACAATTATTAGAAACTAGCTATTACCTCCGAGTCTATATTAACTTATTTTTATCAAAATTAATCAAATTTCTAAAATATAAGTAGCCTAAGTTAATTGGTATATCTAGTAGCTAGCAGGCTATCTGCGAGTAAAAGTCCCTTTAAACTAGGTCTAGTGGTTTCAGAGATTAGCATAATAAAAATCAGAAAGACAATTTTTTTGATGTATAACGTATATATGTACTTTTATATGTATTTAGTCAAAATCTGTTGATTTGAAATTATAAACAGACAATTTTATTTATTTGTATACATAATTATGTTTACTACAAGGCAGCAAATGAGTGTACGGCCTGTCTGATAATAGACCGTTATGGTAGCTCAGGTAAGTGCAACTCTTTTCTAATAAAAGCGCGATGATAGAGTCATAGAACCGAGAGCTATCAACTTTCGTTTACCTAGAGAATAATTAGATGTCGCTAGCATCGGATTAAATCTCACTCAAATGTAAAACTGCTGTATGTAATGATTTTGAAAACCAACAATTATTTCTGTTAGTGTTATTATATAATATTATATTATCTGTGGTGTTATAAAATTTTCAAATTAAGACTAACGGAAATTATCTAAAAGTAATACATATTTATTAAATCAAAGTCAGTGGCGTAATTATACCGTTCCAAACCCGTATACCGTGATAAATTCACCCCTTGTTTTTTTTACAACAACATTGAAATTTTAATAAATAATGTGCATTAATATTGTGTAATTTTAATAAATATTAATATTCCTTGTGTATGCATGCAACTAAGTAGATGAATTAAATAACTTAGATAATTTTTTTTTTCTAATTGGTATAATGATATATATTCTTTTTTATAAATTTTTGGAGTTTGGACTTCCTCTCTGTCCGGGAGGGCCTTCCGGCTGGGGGGCCGTGACTTTTTGCCGACTTGCCGCCCTGTAGTTACGCCGCTGAATAGAGTATTTAGGTTGTATATATTTTCCTTGGAGGAAAGTATAATTATTTTATATGCATTCTATATATGCCTACATTGGAATGCTTAGCCTACGCAATGCTTTATGTAATGAAATTATTGTCATTCCTATACTATATAGATAGATAAGTAATTGTAAATTGATGTGTTAAATGTTTATTGTTCAATAAAATCAGTTGATCAGTCCATAAGTTGATTCGTTTTATTTATAAATTTATTGCATTCCTCAAGTCCAGTTTTTTAATGGATAATGATGGAATAGTGTACCCGCCAGAGCTAACGGTTCACGCTTGCGGGGCGCCAGTGGAGGACAATAAGATAATAATGAGGTCAGATCAGTTAGCCCATCGTGACAAATTTGCCAAGAATGTTTTCAAAGGGAACTGCGTGGAGAAAATTGCTAGCTATGGGTTCCATATACCACATTACCTGATATGCGGGTAATGTGACCGTCAGATCCAGTTACTATATTACTATTTGTTTGGATGAGAATTGTTAGGTCAGTTAGTCTATCATGACTAATTCAACAGGAATGAACTATAATGGATTCTAGAGGAGACCCCGCGGAATCAGTCGTATTTTGTTTTTATAATAATATCCAAAAACAGGATAATTTTCCCTTAGACAGAATCTGAAACTGTAAAATAAAAAAGTTTTAACGAAATTTGTGCTTGACTATATTTTAAAAATGAAAATATGACAATTAAATCAAAAGATTTTGTTTTGATTCAGTGTTTCCCCATTTCAAGAAAAGGCAAGAGGACTCAGCCCATACAGCCATTAGGTTGGGTAGATTAATAGTTGACATTGACAATAACGACACTGACATTGACAATCTACCAACGGTGTCAACTGACAGACGGGAACCTAAACAACAACAATGTAAACAACTGTTGCTATGGCGGCATTTTTATTTTCTCGCCAAAATAATACAAGGATAGATGTGTATTTATTAGAAACTATTGATAACTTATTACAAAATTTAAATCATGTCATATTAATATAATAAGTCGTGGAAAAATTGCTAGGATGTAAATCATATTATTAGCTAATTCCAAAATTATTATTGTATTTTGTATTAGAATTCTTTACATTCTTCATTGTAAATAAAGATAAATGTACAAGTATAATGAACGGATATAGAAAGGAACATGCCGGTCACGATACAGGCAAGAGTCATTCCACAAAATGTGAGCGAGGTATGGGTCTCATTTATTAAATCAGAAATTTCACTTCTTTCCTACCATATTCAGAAATACTCCTTTCTTGTGCTGATTCTAGTTGGAGTTACAGTTATTTAATGTCAATTATGATTATTATTAATTTTATTATCACTACTAATACACACTAAATGTATACATAAAGTTAACTTTGTTATTCATTGTAAAAATCTGAATATATTTGACATTTGAATGTATATAGGTATGATTATATAATTTTAACTTATATTTGTTTTATTACTTTAGAATTACTTTACCGCATTTGCCCCTCAAAATTAAGTAAAAAAGAATTGGAAGATCTTTATTTTGCTCTACTGGAAAACAATCTAGAACTGAAGAAAACACTTAACTCACAGCAAGATAATATAAAGGTAAAATATTTTTTTATCTATAAGTACCTGTAAAAAAATCTATGAACTATCTATATATATATATATATCTATCTAACATTACTGTGAACATATATTTATATATGTTCACAGTAATGTTAGAAACAATTGAACAGATTTTTATTCATTTATCTTCTATCTACAGAGGAAGGAAGACCTAAGGAAGTATTAGGTGTATAATTTGTTAAGGTTTTGTATAAATTAATTGAAATATGCATGCAAAGCTGGGATATGCTAGTTAATCATAATTAGTACTTAAATGGCTGTGTCAAACAAATCATACATCCTGTCGATACAAGAAATTCTGACCAAAAATCCGTCTGTATTTGATCCTGTGAAACTATGAGCATAAAATTTGCTATTTATGTCACAAATATGTGTAGTTTCAATATAAATTCCAAAAAAAGCCTTTAACAATTGACTATACATAATGTGACAATTAAACAGAAGTATTTAATATTAGTGTAAATAGATACTATAAATGATAATTATATGTATATTATATCATCAGCTATTCTGCACATCAGTCTCTGAGACGGCATGTCCTTTAGACACAAAGGGCTCCAGTATGTTCTATGTATTTCTGTTTGCCAATTGGGACCACAACGGTTCAATGGTCTAGTGATTGAGCATGGCACTTTATTTTCAATGACACTAAGTTTGATTTGACATTATACAAATATTTTGGGATTGGTCAATTATACTTGGTTATTATAATCATAAATAGAGTGATGATTTAAGGTGTATTTTTTATAAAAAATAAATGTAGTACTATTTCTTACATATAGTATAGATAATTCGTTTATTTGTATATCTTATACAGTTACTATCAACAAAAGTGCAAAGGATGACAGCCACACAAAGGAGCAGCCTTATCAAGGAGAGCAAAGACTGCTGTGCTGCTACCAAGGCTGTTGTTCAAGAGCAGAAGGCATGGTAACTGTTTTTTAGATAATAAATGTATTCCTGAAATGTGTTCTTCAGAGTTTTAATAACAACTAAACTTTTAAATTTTTATTACTGAAAGTAAAAGTTATCCCAAAACAAAAATTGGGTCTAGGTCTGTAATACCGGCCTCCGGTTGGAGGAGTTCTAATGCACCACAACACATATAACGAGATACACAAGTTACCATTGAATGATATGACAAGAAAGTGAAATTATAGGTCACGCAAGTATGATATCTTGGTCCTATATGGAATGACAGGGTATAAGTGGTACCATGGGCGATACTTGATAACAGGATGTCTGCAGTGCTCATATATATAGATCACGGTAACCATTTACCATCTGCTTTTTATTAGTATAAAAAATTATAGCAAACAAGCTAACAGCCTATCTGATGGTAAATGGTTACCATAGCCTATGGATGCCTGAGACACCAAGGGTAACATGTGCGCGTTGTCGACCCTTAATAAAACGTATATAGGGTATATTCAGTTGTCTTAAGGGTCATCTTGAAAAACCCTATGCTTTACCATGCTAGTTACATAAAAACAATTTATTTTCTAATTTAATAGAGTTATGTCAACATTTACAGTATAGCTGATTTGAAAAAATCAAACGAGCGCATGTCGGAGAGGATTCGCATCCTCAACATGAGGCTCTGCACAGCTAAGCAGTTTCTTAAACAAAGCCCCTCGCAGACCATGTCTCGCTGCTTTAAATGTCTTACAGCTGCACCTGCATCGATGAAGTGAGTGTAATCTACATTTGAAATTGTACTAGATAAAGTTTAAGATACGACAGCTGATAGATAAAGATAGATAGATAATAAACATGCGTACAACTCTGACCAGTTCGCTGGCTGCTCGAATAATGCATTTTTTGTCCGACTCACTGTTCATAAGCCGCCATATTGAACCACAACTCTCGTAAAACCGGAAGTGATAACAATAAGAAGAATAAAAGATGCAGTATATCATCTTTTATTCTTCTTGCCAACCACAGATAATGGGATGAAGATAAGGCAGTGAATGAATTAATTGTATTTAGAATTTTCCATCAGGCATCATATCTACATAGTTTTTTTCGTGTTGAAAATGAGCCATGTCTCTAATTTTTTAGTATTCATTGTCAGCAATGTTAGGTTGATCTCCACGCAATCCTGAAATCATCGTGTTTAATTCCTGGCGACTTTGTCATTATAGGCTGTGTTACTTCATAGACAATTTATCATTCTGCGTACTGTTAGCGCTAGGCTAGGAATTATATAAATAATAATAATAATAATAATCTCAGGACAATTCACACAGCGCCATCTAGACCCAAGTTAAGCTAGCTAAAGCTTGTGTTACGGGTCCTAGACAACTGATACAAATACATAGATATTTTTTTTCGTAAATACATACATATTATTAGAAAATACCCAGACCGATACAAACAATCATACTCATGAATACAAATGTTTGTGCCGTGCGAGGAATCGAACCCGCGACCATCGGTCGTAAAGCGGTAGACTAGACCGCTAGACCACCGAGATTATAGATTACTTCAAATAGGTATTTGCATGTCTGTAAAGACTATATAACATAAATAACCATACCATCTATTATGTACTACTTTTCTAACAAATAAATTCAATTTAATTTCATATCATTCCGCAATTACCTATAAAAAATTGTAATTTTTTTTGTTGTTTTTAGAAACTCTTCAGTGAGTGTATTGCATTCGCGACGCAGTGAGAACAATCCAAAAACAAGTGTAGCTACCAGTCAATGCACAGACAACAAGTAAGTTCGTAATTATATGAGTAAATAAGTTTATATGTATTTAGTTCTTTTTGTTTGTGCGGTAACCAATATAATGTAATATATGTCATTTAAGTAAAACCTAGAATTAGCTTTAATATTGCCACATACGTTATTGTATGTACAAATTGAAAGACCTTGGTTTAATTTTAAAATAAAACAAAATCAATATATTTTTGATGACTTATGTATGACATTCAAGTTATCATTTAATGAATAATATCCAGTTTGAAAATAGTTATGATCCGGAAAATTACTTTAAACAAATGTAATATAAAATTAGTGTATATTCTGAGAATATAAATATTCTTTTATCACGGTACCATTATGATCTATAACAAATACAATATATAATAAAGAAATAAATAAATGTGCTAAAAGTAATATATATATATAGTGTTGCGAGTAAATGATACGATGTTGTTGGTCGATGTATATTACAGATGATAATATACTGACAATATGTATATGGAAATAATGATCTTATATACTAAATAACAATAGGAAAATGTAAGGTGGGGTGACACAGTTTAGACACAGCAGTGCTTAGTATTCAATTTGACAATATTCAATTTGTCTTACTAGACATTGTTAAATGCAATTATTATTTTGATGTATCTAGATAACTTTGTCCCATATCGTTTCTGGAATAACAGTAGACTCTATAAAGTCTAGAGATTCGTTGGTAAATTTGTATTGGAATGCAATTATTATTTTGATGTATAGGTAACTGGGAACGTAATTTTTTTCCTCATATTCGTCCATCTCCTTTTCAGTGATAGAACAGGCAAAGATCCTTAGACCGTACAACCTAGTCTACGTTTAAACTTCTTCATATTAGTATAAGTGATGAGGCCAAAGGCCAATTCTTATGTAAATTTATTCGTTATTGCTTTCATTCGTATTCTCAATTTAAATTGGGAACATAGATATTTTAATGAAAAAAATTTTTTGTTTTTATTTCAGAGAAGTAACGACTAAAGATGTTGAAACTGAAACTTGTGAATTAGAAACGTGAGTATAAAATATCGTCGGTTAAATACAAAAATGGCAGTTTTCAAAACGTACATTTTTTACCAGACAAGCTTTTAAAGATTTTTTTTTAATTTATTGAAATTATTTTTTCCTTTAATTTTTTAAATTTACACAAAAGTATTGTATATCATTTTAAAAGTATTTAGATAATGATTAAGACGGCGTGGTTAATTTAATTGACTTATATAAAAGGAGGCAATTCTAGCTTCTAATTTTGAAAAATATCATTTTTCTATTTAATCGACAATATATGTATGTATTACTTTCGATTGTGACCTGTATTCAACAATTATATAGCTTGAACTTACCGAAATCTTGCTATGTCTACATGGTTTAGGTAAAAAAAAAAGAATTTACAAGGTTGCTACGTACTACGTATAGATACCGATAGAACGGCTTGTCTGCATGTTTTCAACGTTCCTACGGAGTTTAAGTTTTTTTTTTCGGACTACTCTAATGCTGTTATTCACCGGATGCAGATTCCAAACCTGCGGAAGGATTATTGAAATTTTTGACGGATACGACTTTAGTCTGAGGGCACCACTAGGGGGTCCGAACCTCGGCTTAGGCCGTCGTAATTTCGATCCCCGTTTGAATTGGATGGGGGATCGATCGGCGGGGCGTATATTTTATTGGCAGTTCAGCTCTATACTGCTATATCTGGTAACATTATTTGAAAATTTGACAATTACATCTGTCAATTTAGTCTCTGAGATTAAAAAATAGTCTGTAGGTACTATAGGTATCTTGCTATGTTTAATAACATTTGTTTTTTTTTATTTTTGTCAGTTTAGCTCTACACTGCTATATCTGATAACAACATTTGAAAATTTGACATTAACACCTATCAATTTAGTCTCTGATAATAAAAAACAGACTAGAGGTACTATGGGTAACTAACGATGTTTGATAACATTTTTTTATTATTACCAGTGGCAGTTCAGACAAGATGTGTAATGAGAATAAATGCAAAACTCTGATGGAGGAGTTCAAACAGAAGATCATCAACTTGCAAGAGGTAAGTGACGTAATTCTAGACAAAACAGCGCCGCACGTGGAGGGGGTAGACAGTAATGGGAACAAGTGGCTCCATTGTTAGCAAAGTTCCTTGACGAACTAAAATACAATATTACACTTCTGAGAACGTCGTCGTTTCTTCAGTGAATTGATACATATGTTTCTGTTTTAAATTTAAAAAAATTCTTGTCGGCCTTCATGCTTTCCTCTCTGGAACCCATCGTGGTTATTTCGGGGTGGTGGTCCTATCATTCTCCACTGGTGCCCCGCCAGCGTATACTGTTAGCGCAGGCGGGTGTACCATGAGGCCCGCAGCTAAAACGGTCCCACGCCGTCGGAGTCGCGGTGGACTGACACTCGATCCCGTGACTCCACTAAAGGCTCTTAGTTGGGATACCTTGGAGTTTTTAGTGAGTAGGAGTCTCACAGTACCCGCTTGCCTCCCCCGTGGCGGGTGGGTCTCCATGGGGGATTTTCATGGGGGGATGGAAAAAAAGGCGGGTGTACCAGTCCATTAAAAAGCTCTAAACTAAGCTGGAGCTTTTACTATGGTTTAATGTATAATGTATATGTTAGTTTATTATTTAATAGATCAACACGGAAATTTCCTGCTCTCTCTTCGTGTGAGTTTGAGTTTGTGTTCCGAATGAATGATAGAATAAAATATGACTATTCAAAAGTGCTCATATTAAATTTGTATAAAGATTATAATTATTTCTATTCTGTTAATGTACTCGAATACATTTTAAAAACACGTGTGATAACGGCCTTGCAAAGAAACCAACCAGACTACCAATACGGGCGTCGTGATTTGAGTAGATTGATTTGCTCTAATCTGTCGCGTCTCTCTTTCCAGGAGTTGTCTCACACGCACGAGGAGTACTCGAGCCGTATTTCAAGCTTGGAGCGTGAAGTGAATCGTGCAGAGCAGCAGCGTAGTCTACAGGAGGAGCAGAACGGAACTCGCGTGAGAGAACTGGCAGCAAAGCTTCGAGATCAGGAGGCAAACTATAGTCAGTACATAGATAAACGTAGAATGGTCTGATGGTTTACTACTCCAATTTATAAGTCAGCCTCGGTGGTCTAGTGGTTTAGAACACGGCCTTTCGTTGATCGCGGGTTCGATTCCTCGGTATAAACATTTCTATTCATGAGTATATTTTCACTACCATATTCAACTGAAACGGCTTACTAAACAAGCTGCTTGGCAGTGACAGGTGTGACATGTTGTTTGTCCGCGATGGACTCCTAAACTCCTAAACCGATTGCAAACTTGATTTGCACATTGTGTGCAATTTGATCCAACTTTAAAGATAGGATAGCTTACATCTCAATTTATAGTCGCAATATTAATTTATTGCAAATTATTTGTCTATTATTAGCCACAGCAACGCGTGGCCGGGTCTGCTAGTAAGTATATAATATATAAGTCTCGAGAAATTAATATATAGATACCAAAACAACATCCATAGTGATCACATTTACCTTTCAGACGATATCTCCACTCAGTTATCCATAGAGAAGAGTAAGGTAACAGAGCTAGAGATGCGATTGAAGGCGGCCGACTCGTCGGCCCAAATAGCGAAGACCATAGACACGCACCTCTCCAATATCAACGTACGTTCTATTTTTTTATTCGATTAATTTACTATTATCAATTAACATATTTATATTATTAACCGAGTCTTAACACGAATAATTTTATGGCAAATGCTCTCAAATCATTGCGACGGCTAGTGCAACCTAGTCGAAACGTCGAGAGAGGTAAATTATATATACTCTATATATATAAATAAAATTGGAGTGTCTGATTGTAATATTGAAATAACCGTTTTTTACTACATGCATATGAATATAAATATGGTACATACACAAAAATAATATTTTTTACAATTTTTGTCTGCCTGTCTGTTTGTTCCGGCTAATCTCTGATATGGCTGGACCGATTTTGACGGAACTTTTATTGGCAGGTAGCTGATATAATAAGGAGTAACTTAGGTTACTTTTATTTTAGATAAATAAAGTTATATTCCACGCGGACGAAGTCGCGGGGTCAACTATTTGATATAAAATTATTCGTGTTAAGACCGGGTTATAAATAATGTATATTGAACACGAAACTAATTAAACAATAGCTAACATATTTATGTCACAAACAATTATATCTGTTCACTTAAAAAAAAACAATCATTGTAATCCAACGCGACACATCGAGGCAGTATACGAAAGATACTGGAAGAGTTCCCTCTTTGAACCTATCGTCTGGGCAAAGTAGCTACTAGCTCTCGGGTCGTTTGAAGTGTTACGTTCACTATGATATTCTCTGTGACTGATACACTTAATAATAGGCCTCTACTGAAAGAGAATAATGCATTTTCAAAATATTATGTACCTCTTTATATGTCAAATATGTGAGTGAAAAACATTAAGACTGAACTTACATGGCTGTCATCGGGATTCGGGACACACAATGATGTATGGTATCCTGAATCCGATATGTTTTATTCCTGATAAAAGAACTATCCCATCTGGATAAAAGTCAGGAAGCTCTATTATTGTATTATTTATAATACTTCTAGATTTATCTTTCTGGCTCAAAAATATAATAGTATATTAGCTGTGTTTACACGTACGGTAATCAAAATACACTGTCCAACAAATATAAATGTTAGGGATGAACAACCCTTATCACTTAGGGGTATGAATAATAGATAGTAGCCGATTCTCAGACCTACTAAATATGTATAAAATTTCATAAAAATCGGTCGGCCGTTTCGGAGGAGTTTTAGAAATTTTATATATGAGAAGATTATTATTTATTTATAAAAGGGCCGACGGAATGTCGGGAGCCCACTTGAAATATGGACCGACGATGTTAAGAAGGTGGCCAGTACATGTATAGATTTTATTAAGAACCTCTCAATGAGTAAAGACCACGTCCAATTTACTCTGACGGACACGAGAATTTTATATATATATATATATGTATATATATACGCAGCGTGGGAAGGCCTCCAGCAAGGTGGACCGACGATCTGGTCAAGATCGCTGGAAGACATTGGATGCGAGCAGCGCAGGACCGATCGTCGTGGAGATCTTTGGGGGAGGCCTATGTCCAGCAGTGGACGTCTTCCGGGCTGCGATGATGATGATGATGATGATATGTAATATTGTCATTATTCTAATATAATTATTATTTTGTAATATAATATATTTTGCCAGTAAATTTACAATAATTCATTTATGTGCAGGAATTAAGAAGACAGTCATCTAAACCAGACAATAAATTCAAGACCAGCTCGCCCCTGCAATTACCCAACTGGGAGGTACCTTCGCTGCATGTGCGTATATAAAATCCAGTAATAGATTACATTAATTGAATAACAACGTCGGCCTCGGTGGTCTAGCGGTTTAGAACACCGCTTTACTTCCGTTGGTCGCGGGTTCGATTCCTCGCACGGTACAAACATTTGTATTCACGAGTATGATTGTTTGTATCGGTGTTTTACTAAACTATGTATATATTTTTTCATGGATGGTAATGGAATGGTGCACCCGTCTGCGCTAACGCTTTACGCTGGCGGGGCACCAGTGGAGGATGATAAGATGAGCATGAGGTCAAGTCAGTTTGCCCATCGTGATTAAATAACCAGGAATTAACCACGATGGTTTCCAGGGGGAACCGCGTGGAGGTCAACCTAACATGGTACATTGCTAGCAATAGGGACATTAGACCCCATTACTATCAATCACCTTCCCACCAAATATTTTTTTGTAAATACATACATAATATGTTTTGTAAATACATACATAATATACATATTATGTATGTATTTACAAAAAAATCTAAGTATTTATATCAGTTGTCTAGTACCCATAACACAAGCTCTGCTTCCCGTGGGACTAGATGGCGCTGTGTTAATTGTCCAGGGTTATCTATCTGACGTAACAGCTATATTACAGTAAAGTTTCAGCAAAATCCGTAGAGTAGTTTTTTTAAAACTGCCGAAGCATACATCAGAATGACACATAGGCTATAAATTTCACGGGGGTGAAAACGCGGGCACAGCTAGTATTATATATAGTTTTATACTATTGTAGTTGGAGGTACCCGTGTTACAGCCAGTCATCAACCGGGTAAGCCCCGGACCGGAACCGGAACCGGATCGAGAGGACACCAGACTGTCCAAGCATTCGGACGATTCCGGATATACTGACGTCAACCGGACGCAAGACTACGACCAGGATAATAAGGTTTTGTACTTGCTAAAGTTTCCTATTAATCCACCACCATCCACCTCGGTGGTCTAGCGGTTTAGCACACTGCTTTGCGTCCGATGGTCGCGGGTTCGAACATCCTCTCGCACGGTACAAACATTTGTATTCATGAGTATGATTGTATCGTCTGGGTGTATTCTATGTATATAATGTAAGTAACAAAAAATATGTAAGTATTTATATCAGTTGTCTTTTATATTATAGAACTTGTGATCAACAAGTTCTACTTAGCTTGGGACCAGATGACGTTATGTGTATTGTCCACTGATATTATATATTATATAACTTCTAACAATACTACTTTTGAATGTTTCCTACTTAATATAGTATCCTATTAATTGTGCCACGTATGGAAGTGATTATTTGCTTTATTTTAATATATTTATAAACCAATGTCTTTTTCCCGTCATGACTTCTTCTGGGTGTACATAATATAGTGAGTTTTTCATAATACATGTACATATATACATATCCTACGTTACTTTGGATTCATATTCTACCAATCTGTGAAAGAATTTCTCATATAGGTACAGTGGTTTCTGAGTTCATTCCTCCATCTCCTCTCCTCATCATCCACTCTTTCTTTATAATATTAGTGTAGATAAGTAAATTAATGATTAAGTACTAAAATATTAATGAGTACTTACTTGTTTTTAAGGCTCTGGCAAAAATAAATAAAGAACTAATGGAACGGATATCATCTTTACAAGAGCAATTGGACGCAATAAAAATTTCGACGGTAAGTGTAACTTTATTATAGATAGATAAAATCCCTCACGGGTCTAGGTAGCGAAGTTGGAATAAAGGGGAGCACGATAGATCTATGCAGTGTCACAGTTCTCAGTGACCTAACAAAAGCCTAAACCCTCCCCAAATCTCTCAGTGACCTGACAAAAGCCCAAAAACATTTAATTGATTGTCATTAATATAATTTTTACCACGAATAATTTTATGGCAAAAAAGGTTATTTACGTCTCGACGTTTCGACTAGGTTGCACGAGTTAACTGGAGTCGACGGTTGACTAGCCGTGGTCACGAGTTAACTGGAGTGCTGAAGCTCGTTAAAACCTATATTAATATTGTGTACCAAAAGAGAAAGTTTAAAGATAATTATTAACATAATTATCGATATTCCACTATTCCAACATAAATCTAAAATCCATGAGTAGAATTAAGAGTTTAGAAATCTTTATGTGTTAATTTATATTCATGACTAAAAACACGAATATGAACCCAATGAAACCTATGGCTGAAATGATGATGATGATACCATAAAAAATAAAATTTATATTTTACTGTGTAACCCTTTGACTATTTAATTCGTAATATATTAAATTAGATGTGCAATGAAACAAAACCGTTCATCTAAATAGTCCTTCGAGACGGATTATCGTTATTTGATGTCGTATAAATAATAATGATGACCCAGGACAATTAACACAGTGCCATCTAGTACCAAGTTAAGCAGAGCTTGTGTTATGGGTACTAAATAACTAATTGAAATACTTAAATATTTTTTTTATAACACACTTCATATTTTATATGTAGCGGTTTGTTACACGGCTAGACTACAGGCCGTCAATGTTAAAAATATGTGAATCTAGAAAAAGCAATAAAGCACACAAATATATTTTCAGAATGAGGAAACAATAAAACAGTTACTACATAACAAGAGCTTCCAATCTGAGGACATTGATACAGAAGACTATAAAGATGTTGGAGTAGATGATGTCTCAGATGGACCATCGCAAGAATTTACCAAGAAGATAATAGTGGAGGTTAGACCTACTTTACTTACATGGTTAAATTGTTATATGTATTGAATTTTATGCTAGAAAAGTTTTAGGAGACTATAAAAATACGCTATCAAATAAATATCTGAACATATTTACATTTTAGGATCATAAATTCAGTATAGAAAATGAATAATAAAAATTAATATTATAAAATCACCTTCCAGCCAGGAATATTTGCGAACCGATATGATATTGAAACCTTACAAAAAGGGCATATTCCATTTTAAAAGGCCGTCAACGCACTTGTATTTCACATTTCCCTGGTGTTAGGGGTGCTCATGAACAGCGAGAATTATTACCACTAGATGGGCTGCAAGATTGTTTGTTTGATTACTAGCTTAAGAAATAGGGATTGTTGGTAGAAATGTGAAAATTTAGGGTATGTATTTATAGTTGCCACATTATAAAAAAAACTCCAATAATAAATGGCAGGGATAGACAACCCTCTCAAACCTACTGAATATACATATAAAATTTCATAAAAATAGCTCAAGCGTTTCGGAGGAGTATGGTAATTAACATTGTATTTTATATAAGATTTAATTTATTTTCTATAGAAACAAAGAAATAAAAGCAACACAGAACAAAGTCCAGACAGAAACGAATCTTTACAAGAACGTCGTTCTAAGGAGCGTTCCGCTGACATGTGTAGAGTTAACGAACTGTGGAACAGTTACGACGATACTCCCAACACCGAAAACACGATACAAGCCACCTCGTGAGTTGTATTATTATGATATTATATTAGTACAGTCAGTTACAGTAGTCCAGTGGTCGAAATTCGACCATAATTAACTTAACATTCAGTAAGACTATAGACAAATAATATTGAAGACAAACTATGTTAATTTATTCTCAATTTGATCACAGACTTTATCAATAAACATAAGAGTATGTATGCGTGTGTGTCAATTACATGGTAGTGTGTATAATGTTTTGTTATTTATTTAATATATTTTTAATATATAATTTTAACAAATATTAATATTCTGCACTCTTTCTCCATATGAACTATGAGTGTGCGAAATTTCACACTTTTCCGTCCGCGCTATATCTATATTTTCGTAAAAAGGGGTACAAAGTTTTTGTTTCACGTATTAATATACAGATATTGGCGACTTCATCTACACAAATTTTGATCCCCTATTTCATCCTGTTCCAGATTATTATTTAAGAAAAATACAACCTATCTTTATGTCGAATTTAATTAGTATGTATTCTCTGTAATTGCACTGTCTAATCTGCATCTAACAGCTAAACAACTTACAAAGCAAGCTTGAAAGATTGTCAACTAAAGTAGGTGAGAATGAGGTACCCACGCAGACAACATTTTATAGTTTACCTTTACAGTTGTTGTGCATACTAACATATACATTATTATCATTTTCAGAACTCATCCAATCCAATTGGAACAGCTGGAACAATCTGTCGGGAAAAAGAAAGAACCGGTTCCAAGTGCAAGGCAAAAACCGATTAAAAACGCTACCAACACGAAAAGTGATACACACAACAGCTTTCAAATACCTGGTCCTTTACCAGTTCATAATACAGAAAATATAGCAGGTTCTAAAGAAAAACCGTGGCCGAGAGCCAAACGTAAATTAATTGATATCAGAACGAGAAAAGATACCAATAACTCTAAAGACAACTTAAATGCAAATAATGCTGGTAAATATGAAGAACCTACTCTACAAACTGAGGATGAAACTACACAGTTTTATCAAAACAGAAATGCAACGGTTGATAAACAACCTGCGCTTGATGGTAGTGAACAAAATTTAAAATTAGGTTCAACGAAAATTGAATCTCTCGATCATGCAAAGATCAGTGATGATAAACAAGACGCTACAGTAAATAAAATGCAGGCAAATAACGCTGGCGTGCAAGAAGCTGTCGTGGACGTTAACCAGCTAGGTAAGGTGATATTATTATTCTCTCAACTGTAGTATTTTATGTTTCTTCTAATTCTCCTGAATATACAGCATCACAATTAACTTAAAGTATGGAAATTCTGTGTAATGATCAACTAGCATTTTTCATAAGAACTAACAAATCATATATTTCAATTCATGTACTTTTGTGGTATGACAAATCTACGGACAGTTCGGTGTGCTTTCAAGCTAAGAAGGATTGATAAGAAACTCAGCTGTTATTCCTTTCAAATGATCGTCTATCGATTGTCGATTATTAAAATCTATAAAATTACTTGAGTCTGTTGTCACTTCCTTTGAAACTGAGAAAATAGTCTCAAAAGCACTGTTTCGTCCCTCCAGAGCTAAAGTTTCTAAATCAAACGTATGTAGGACTAAGAGGACATATTTCATTTATCTATATTCATACCAAATCCTTTACGTAGTACGCAAACAAATTTATGTGTAATGCGCTTCTAATCGTGAACACAACCCTAAATATTACTCCAAAGGCTTTTAAAAATTTTTAAAAAGGCTAAATTTAACCTATTTTTTAATTTTTTTTAATTTTTATTTATTTATTCATTTATTTCAGGCAACTAGGCCCATATTATAAATACCTTATAGACTAACATACATATAATATAATAAAAACCAATACAACTATATTGTCTGTGTGATCACGGATGAAGACGGCAATCTGCCACGGTAGCGCCGAACCACACCTTTCGGCCAGTAGTCCTCTTTCATGAAGGTGGGCAGCAAGTCGGTAGGGACCAGGGCCACAAACGCTTTGAAACTCGCGTTGTGACTCGACTTCAGCTGCGTCACCCTCAATGTCAGGTTACTCTTGATACGGTTATAATCGACAATGTTCTGCTCCTTAGTGGCGTAATGTAGAAAACAGGTACATTGTCGTTGTCGGTGTAGCAAACGCAGCAGAAAGTTGGGCCCAGTGAGTGCAGTGCCACAATGATTCCAAACCCTGTTTGTGCGCCTCTTCTTTTGTACCACGACGAAGCCATCATCGTCGCGGTTCCCAGTGGCAGCACACGTAGGGTCAATGTTCAGTGCCGTTTTTGGCACACGCCGCTGTACTGAAGCAGCCGGTTTGCTAGCGACGACGGCGGCAAAATCTCGACGCTGTGGTTGCACCGAGGATTTTGTTAGCGCTGCTTCCACATGCAGCGGTATCGGCGCTCGCGAGCTGCGGGCGGGGAGCACGGGGGGCGCGGCGGGCGGCGGTGACACCACGTCTGGTGACGTCAGTGTCGACGCCGAAACCGCTGACTCCGCCGTGAACGCATCGCGGCATGCCCCACGGCGCGTGTTGATGTTCGTAGCGTCAAGTGACCTAGTTTCTTTTCGCGAGTCGCGCAAACTGTCCACTTCCTTGCGCAACTCACTAATTATGTGCTCTGACGCATTGAAACGTAGCGTCACATCTGCCAAACTCTTTTTTAAGGACACGATATCCTTGAGTAGGCTGGTAACATCGACGTGATCAAATGTGACTGGAGGAAGTTTGTTTAAATCCTTCGCCACAAAAGTCGGCACGTCGTCTGGATCGGTCTCCTTCAGCAGCGTTATAATGTCCTGTACGCTTTTTTTGTGTCCCGTCACGTCTACGAGACACCATCTGATCAGTCTTATTTAGGGACTCGAAGAGCAGAGCCTTCGCTCTCGCGATGTCGTCCTGGCTGAAGTTGGACACACAGATCTGGACTGCACTTACTTCGTCCATTACGTCCAGCTTCTGCTGCAGGAACGCAAGGAGTTCGTTAGTTTGTCACACATGGCTGGAACTTCGACTAGCACGGCTTATGCCGCGCTGAGCAATTACGATATGAAAGAAAATAATTATAATACGTGCACATCGGATCGCGCTTAATCTGAGACTGATTTTAATGTAACTAATGAAGTTGTGGATAGGTCTAGTAGTCTAAACTTTTCCGTTAGAAATTCGAAAAATCAAAACTTTCTCTTTATAATATTAATAGATTAGTGAATAGAAAATAGTACTTACAAAACAGTCTAACTCAAATGGTGCGTTAGTGTTATGCGCGCACTACAGCCGTGCGTGTGATTGCGGACCCCGAATATTTCACGGGTCCCAGAGGTCCCCGGAGTCACCTCACGCGACCCTACTGCGGTCGTGCAGTGGAACGCAACTGTATCGGCCGACAACCGCGCACGTGCTACGACACTGTCGATGCGAGGACCCTGAACAACGGACTGTTAATAATTCATGTGGTACTATTTACTGTACGCTTTCACCATGTACGGTTGCAGATGATAATACTAGTAGTAAAATCTTGTGTAAATTTTTAAATACCACTAATAGTAGTAGTAATATTTCTATAGTTCTACACGTCGACTAAATAGAAAATTGACATATTTCAAAATTAGGAGCTAGATTTGCCACCTTTTATATATCATCATCTGCTTCTTCCTTATCCCATATATTTGTGGTCGGCGTAATATGTTTTTCTCTTCCATTCATCCCTGTTCGCAGTCATCTCGTTATTTACTTCCTTTCTCACCATATCATCTTTCACACAGTCCATCCATCTCTTTTTAGGTCTTCCTCGACCCTTATAACCATCCACATTCATATGTAACACCGTCCTTAAGATATGATTTTCATTCCTACGCATTACATGCTCATACCACGATAGACGATTACTTTTTAACCTCTCCGACATATAACCTCACCTTTTATATAAGTCAATTAAATTAACCATGCCGTCTTAATCATTATCTAAATACTTTTAAAATAATATATATGTATATAGGTACTTCTGTGTAAATTTAAAACTTTAAAGGGAAAAATAATTTAAATAAATTTAAAAAATTTAAATGTATGACTTGAAAAAAAAAATTCTATTTAACCGACGATGTTCCTACTAATTTACAATGTGAACCTTCGTTCAATGTCGTAAATATGAGTAGTTCTATATGACCTATTATTGCAGTTAGTTAGTTGTTAGTAAAATTAAAATGTAATGAGTTCATAATATAAATGACTTAGTTTTTAGGAATACAATACACATCAATAGGTAACTTATCTAAAATAGAATATTCCAGAAATTCAATATCATCAGTAGTATTATGTAGTTTATAAATTGTTATTTTGTAGAGAGATTTCATTTGAAATTAAAATAGTTTTGCAAATATATTCATTCATTTAGAGGTAAAAGATAGGTAGGGATTTCTCTCCATGGTACACCAAACAAGTCGTGTCCGGACTTGTACGTAATAATTAAGCGCTCGTATTATTTTAATATATTGCTTTATTCCAGGAACGCAAATGGATAATGGGCAACATACTCACCATAAACAGCGACCACAAGCTGACCGTCAACGACGACCGTCCCACCGTCCGCTGTCGGGCGACCGCACCTACTCGATCGCTGGCGACAACACTGACTGCGAGATATCCTCGCTCACCGACTTACCGGACGAGGGAGACGCAGACGGTATAAGTTTTTTTTTAATTAGTATACTCATATAACACCTGTTAATGTAGATTCATATATGTGAAAGAACAGCTACCTTTAAACGTACGCTCTTTCAACGTGCGAATATTTTTTTCTCGCGAGAAATGTATGCAACATTTCTCGCGTGAAAAAAATATTCGCATATAAGGGTAGATAAGGAGAGCTTTTTGTCTGTCTGTCTGTTTGTTCCGGATAATGTCTGAAATGTCTGGACCAATTTTGACGGGACTTTTATTGGCAAGTAGCTGATGTAATAAGGAGTAACTTAAGCTACTTTTATTTTAGAAAATAATGGTAAATTACACGCGGACGAAGTCACGGGTATAGCTATATATTTAAAAAAATATAGTTAATTGTTACGAAAAGGCGCGAAAGCGCGCACGATTGAAGGACGAGAACGTGTGAATGCGTGAACTGATGACGTGCGCATGCTCTCCTTATCTACCCTTATATGCGAATATTTTTTTCACGCATATAAAAAAAATATTCGTATATATTATAATATTAGTATATATGTATATATATATATATATTAGTATAGTCCCTAAAAAAGTAGAAAACCCGGAAATTGACATCCGGGATGTACATTACAAAGGTAGTCTGGAAGAGATTACTCAACGTTAAGCCGCCCTTTTCAATAATAATAATATTTCAGGACAATTCACACAGTGCCATCTAGTCCCAAGCTAAGCAGAGCTTGTGTTATGGATACTAGACAACTGATATAAATACATGGATACATTTTTTTTAATAAATGAATACATATTATACATAGAAAACACCCAGACCGATACAAACAATCATACTCATGAATACAAATGTTTATATCGTGCGAGGAATCGAACCCACGACCATCGGTTAGTAAAGCGGTGTGCTAAACCACTAGACCACCGAGGCTGTCAAATTTTCTATCAGTTTATGTATATTTACTATTTTGTTCTGTATTTGGTGCAATAGTGTAATTAAAAATAATAATAGTGGCGAGTTACCGTGAGCCGCTGTCCCCGGGTGAGCATAAGGCGACGACCACGGAGTGTACCGACCACACCACGACGACCACCGACTACGGCTCGCTCAGTGAGGGGGAACTGCCGGCACCAGGTAATTATTACCACCGAGAAGGAGATTGTTAGCAATAGCACAGATAACAATATTACATAGTAATAGGGACTTTTGGTTTGTTTGTATGTATTTCAAATGGCAAAGAAGCAACGGTCCATGGTAACCGTCAACCGTCATCTACTTTTTTTTAGGCATGAAGAATGAAAATAAAGAAATTGGTTGTGTCACGTATATGTATATCAGATTTTTGCTGTACTAATGTCAAATTATTTTCTTTTTTCTGTTAGGTAGAGAATTTTACAGTGAACCGCTGTATTCCACTTTTATAAAAAAAACGCTGTTTACAATTAATCATAATACAGTACAATGAAATTTCTTTCCAGTTAGGAAACGTTCGAAGGAATTAAGAGCTACTGCAGAGACAAAATTGTAAGTTGTAATTTTGTGCACAAAATTGGTAGTGAATTAAACACATAATATAATAATACGTGATTTTGGGTAAAAGTATAGTATAATGTATTAAGAAGATATGAGTATCTATTTTTGTACTATATTTAATTCGAATCAGTTTAGCCATTTATATAGGTTGAGTAACAAACATCAATAAATATTTACTGTAAAAATTTTCCAATTATTTTTTTACTACTATTTTTTACAAAATAAAATGATAGTGGACAATTCACACGGCGCCAGTTCTAACCTACTATATAAACTGATACAAATACATTTACATTACAGATACTATTATTAAATACATACATAATATACATAGAAAACGCCCAGACCGATACAAACTCATACTCATGAATACAAATATTTACACTATGCACGGAATCGAACCTGCACCTATCGTAAGTTAAGCGGTTTAGCACACCGCTAGATCATCGAGACCGTTAATATTTTTATAAATACAAATGTTAACACTATGCACGGAATCGAACCTGCGCCAATCGGAAGTTAAGCGGTTTAGCACACCGCTATGCCATCGAGACTGTTAATATTTTTATAAATACTCCTAAATACAAATGTTAACTCTATGCACGGAATCGAACCTGCGCCAATCGGAAGTTAAGCGGTTTAGCACACCGCTAGACCATCGAGAGCGTTAATATTTTTATAAATACTCCTAAATACAAATGTTAACACTATGCACGGAATCGAACCTGCGCCTATCGGAAGTTAAGCGGCACACCGCTAGACCATCGAGACCGTTAATATATTTATAAAGAATTGTAATATATAAGTAAATATATTTATTACTTCATAGATTTATATTATTTTGTTCAATTCCGCTACAATTAGCATGTGTGACATCACAAATATTCGGTATGGAAACCGAATATTTTTGGTCAATCAAATCCCGACCGTGTCGCAATACGGGTGTAGACTCAGTTCTGTCAAACGGTCAAACGGTCGTAATTTGATCGCCATTAGAGAAGGTCGAAACAGCACTCAAGTTTCCACACTGAATATTTGTGGTCTCACATCAAGTAGTGAAATGGACTTCCTCAATATAACACCTAATTCGATTAAAAACACGTTTCTTTCCAGAATCCAACCCGTGTCGGTCACGCAAAAGGTTGAAGAAGCTCTCCAGGCCATCGGCGAGGAGTTGGCACGTTGCAGAGAGCTATTACACACACAGAAACCTCTGGGGGTGAACTTCTGGTCTTCCTTCTAGAAGTATATTTATGTAGCTGCTTGTATATGTAGTACTAGCTGTCCCCGTTATTCATTCGTAAATCATTCCACCTGTACCATTACTTACATACTACAAGAAACAAATATATTACGTAGCGACACCTCATCACGTCATATATAATGATGAAGTTATAACCAATTATACTTCAAGCTATAAAAAATACACCAAATTCCTCGAATCTGTTCTATTCTTAAAAATAAAGTATTACTTATATATGATTCCCCTACGATCGATCCCCCGTCCAATTCAAATTGATATTACGACGGCCTGAGCCGAGGTGCGAACCCCTAGTGGTGCCCTCAGACTAAAGTCGTATCCGTCAGGCAGGAGTTGGCCTTCAGCCGCTCCATAAGTCCTTCCGCGGGTTTGGAGTGCCATCTGCACTCGCCCCCTAACGTCCGGTGAAGCTGTAAAGGCCAGCTGCGGCCAACAGAATTAGAGTAGTAGCTTTTAAGATAATATTTAAGAAGTAAAAAGTATTTGTTAAAGTTATTCAGCAAGATTATTAAGTTAACGATGAGATGAGAAATGAGATCAGTTTTGCACTCTTTGTAACGATACTCTCCGAAACGGTTTGACTGTTCGAGACCAAAATTCATCGAAGGTCGAACTGCAGGCCATCGTTTACCACTCAAAAAAGTTCCTATCGGTCAAGGTTGAGTTTTTAAGAGTAACCGTGCTCCGTTTAACATGTGACCAACACACCGGTAACAAACCTAGTTTACAGTAATATCTATAAAGTATTGTACAGTATATATAGTGGTATGTATTATTTAAAGGTTTATATGAAATATGTATTGTATACATATATATATATATATATATATGCATATATACATAGAAGGAATAAAGCGTTGCGTATATAAGATTTGGTTTTATGTTGTATTGATATTCTTCTTTCTCTGTACTATATAGTTTTTTTTTAAATTGTGTACAAAAAATATAGGTGTATTTAGTTAGGTTTGTTTGTTATTATTGTGATTTCTTTATGAATATAATTGACATTATAAAATGTAAAGACGCGTATTTTGTTTGTTATTGAAATATATTTAATTAAAATTAATATCAGTTACTTTTTTTTTGTTACAAATGTATTGATTAAATTAATTAAAATGAAATAAAAGTGATATTTTACAATTACATGATGTAATTTTATTTAATTTTCTCAAATGCTGCAAGTACACTAAGTACGCGCGGTACGTATCTAAGTTCACGCGGAATCAATTCCCAGTAAGTGATTCCATACTTTTGATCGCGAGTTGTTATTTGTTGTGGAGTCGTCCGTTGGTCCGTACGGACCGCAGGGTGCGGGCCTCGAGTTAAGTTTGCCCGGGCGTGTCACCCCAGCGTCGTTCGTTTACCGGCCGGCCGGAAGCCGGCTGTTTACGTAATGTGGCAAGAATCAATTTCCGCCGGCTTATATCATTCATTATGTTAATACACAATTGTTAAACCAATAAATAACTATATGTCTTTAGTGTCCACAATAGAAAGAAGTACGAACAAAAAATACAACGAACGAAACGAATATGAACAAATATAATTAAAATAAAATATATACAATTGAAATAAAGAATATACATACATAAATACATATTTATATATACAGCACTGAAATGGCATCACTCATCTTTATTGTATACGATGCAATCATGCATGCTGGTTTTCAGAGGCATTAGTATGAGAAACATATGCTGGAACACAGCTTACAAAGGAAGCTGCTTGGCGGCTGGAATATGTGACTTCTTTTTACAATCTATCTCTGGGCAAATTATGTAATATTTTTATTGACTAGACGACCTCGGTGGTTTAGCGATTTAGCAACCTTGCGTTCAAAAGTCACGGGTTCGATTTCTTGCACGGTACGAACATTTGTATTTATGGGTATGATTGTTTGTATATCTGGGTATTTTCTATATATAATATATTCTGATGATCTGATGATCTGATCGAATCTGAGTATTTTCTATGTATAACAATGTATTTACAAAAAAAAAATCTATTATATATATAGATTTTTTTTTTGAAAAGAATTTTATTAGTCTGAGACTTAGGCCTAACCTAACCTAACCTAGAATAGGTTAGGAAGTCTCAGTTTTTTATGTATTAGGAGTATTTTTTTTTGATAAGAATTTTAGTTCAGGAAGATCAAAAGCATGAAGATTATTAATGTACTAGCTTTTGCCGGCGGTTTCGCTCGCGTTAATTTACCCCCTTACGGGTGGAATTTATCAAAATCCTTTCTTAGGGGATGCCTACGTCATAGTAGCTTTATGCATGCAAAGTCTCAGCCCGGTCGGTTTAAAATTGACAAAGTTTCATACAAACTTTCATCCCCTATTTTATCCCCTTGGGGGTAGAATTAATCAAAATCTTTTCTTAGCGGAATACTACGTCATAACATCTACCTGCATGCCAAATTTCAGCCAGATCCGTCCAGTGGTTTGGGCTGTACGTTGATAGATCACTATGTCAGTCTCCTTTGAGTTATATATATTTAGATTTACAAAGAAATGTACCTATCCATACACCTTTTTCACATAAACAAATACTTTTGACGTTTATATTGATTTGCAGCCACAAAGAACTGCATCAGTAGACGTTTCTACGAGTGTAGAGAGGTGTCCAAGTCAGATACCGTTGCGGCGAGCGGCGGCCGATTCCTGCATCGGAGAAGCATCCACGCCCAACTGTATCTTCACGGTGCATTTCGGAACTATGGTGTTGTCTGATGAGGTTGTAATATCAGACATTTAATAATATACCTAGTTCATTTTTTTTTTGTTTTTGGACTATTGTTATGCTGTTGGCCGCAGCTGGCCTTTACAACTTCACCGGACGATAGGGGCGAGTGTATATAGCACTCCACATCCAATTCAAACGGGGATCGAAATTATGACGGCCTGAGTCGAGGTTCGAACCCCTAGGAGTGCCCTCAGACTAAAGTCGTATCCGTCAGGCAGGAGTTGGCCTTCAGCCGCTCCATAAGTCCTTCCGAGGTTTGGAGTGCCATCTGCACTCGCCCCTATCGTCCGTTGAAGCTGTAAAGGCCAGCTTCGGCCAACAGCATTAGAGTAGTCCAAAAAAAACGTATTTACGTATTAATATAGTTTGACGTGATGAATTACAGGCGGTGGTGAGCTCCAGAAACATGTCGCTGCTAGTGTCGTGGAAGTTCTACGATCACGACGTGGCTATGACGCGCGTGCGCCCAGGACGGGTGGTCCTTTTTGACTTCTCCACAGAGTACGACGTGAAAATTCACGATGATTTCCTCAACTACCTCAAATATGTAATGATTTTCAAATTCAAATTTAAAATATCTATTCATGTAGGTCTATTACAGACTCTTTCGATATGTCAAATCTATCGTCAGTTCGGAATAATTTTGGCATTAGAAGAACTGACAAGGCTCAGCTCGTAATTTCAAATAAATAAATTTAATTTAAATTATTCACTAAGAATGACTCCGTAGCGGTTTCTATGTTGATTCTCGCATGCCTCTTACTTGTTATTATGTATTTAAAACTGGCTATACTCGCGACTTCGTCCGCATGGAAGTTAACAAAAAAGTGAATTAGAGATTTTTTCCTAAAATAAAAGTAGCCTAAGTTACTCCTTATTATATCAGCTACCTGCCAAAAAATGTCCCGTCAAAATCGGTACAGCCATTTCAGAGATTAGTCGGAACAAACAGACAGACAGACAAACTGCTCTTGCTCATCTTGCTCATCAACAGACAGACGAAAATTGTAAAAAATGTTGTTTCCATATTACAAACAGACACAGCAATTTTATTTATATGTATAGATAAAGAATATAAAATCTAATCTAGGGAGAGATGTCAATAGAGATCTGCGAATTGAACAAACAAGATGAGCCGTTTGCAACTTGTGCACTGCCCCTCCGTGATGCATTGCTACATACGAACAAACGCGCGGATATGTCTCTAGCTATAGTGAGTACATATACCTTATAATAAATCTTAAGGGTCGGCAACGCCTATGTGACACCCCTGGTGTTTCAGGCGTCCATAGGCTACGGTAACCGTTTACCATCAGATGGGCCGTATGCTACCTAAGTGGTATTAAAAAGAAAGGTATTTCTAATAACTTTTTTGAATAATTAGACATTACCGGAAGTAATTTTGATGCAGAAATTTTTAGAATTCTTTCCTTGTTTTCAGTGAAGTTTAAGCTTGCTATTGCACGTTTCTTACTTCTGTCACTTTAAGCTTAGGAGCATTTTGGTACGAATAAAAGAAATATGATTTTTCTGTAACTGCAACAATTATGATTATATCAATAATGGAATAGTGCACCCATCTGCGCTGTCGGGGCACCAGTGGAGGATGATAAAATAAGCATGAAATCAGGTCAGTCTATAAATGGCAATTTCCCACGATTTTTTTCAAGGGGAACTGCGTGGAGGTCAATATGACATGGTATATTGCTAGCAGGGGGGTTATTAGTCCACATTACTAGGGGGCCCCTACTATACTCCACTACTAACAATTCCACCCCCCCCCCCCCCCATTTTGCGGTATACGCTGCCGAGGCAACAGTGGAGTATGATGTCATGAGGTCAGATCATAGCCCATTATGAATTAACCAGGAATTTACCACGGTGTTTTCCAGCCGGTCCTTGACCTCCACGCGGTCCCCCGTGAAAATCATTCTGATATTGTTTCTATCCCATAAATTAATAAAAAATGTCGTGTAGATATAAATATGTGGTAGCAAGCCTGAACATTCATATACGAGGCTTTATCACAATTAAAAAAACAGACATTTCTAACGGTGGGAATTTTAGTCCACATTACGACAATCCCCTTTCCCCTGTGGTGATGATGTTAATCCGGACGGTAGGTGGCAGGCCCGGGGCTGCTGCGAGGGTCCCGAGCGGAGGAGCAACTGGTGGCCGGAGACGAGGTCGGAGTTCTGGACCTGTGGTGCCTACTACGGGCACCACCCCACGCACTGCAGGCCATCAATCGCGCCATTGCAAGGGTAACACCATTATAACCTTACCACTTACAACCATATTGGGAAATCATCTTTCAACAATGGTTTTGTACCGATAGGATATTGAAACCTTCGAGAAAGGGGGTTATTTCTTCTTAAAAGGCGGCAACGCTCTTGGAAATCCCCTCGTGTTGCTGGTACTCATGGTCGGTAATCACTCACCATCAGGTGAACTCCAAGCTTTGTCCGCTATGCTATAAAAAAAAGGAATTTCGGATATATTTTTTATATGTTATAAATAATAATAAATAAACCTGAAGAAGTTTGATTAAAAGAACACAAATTTAAACAAATAACACAGCGCCATCTAGTCCCACGGTAAGTAAAGCTTGTGTTATGGGTACTAGACAACTTATATTATTTCTCTTTTCTTGTAAAACACAATGGTTGATATTGTGTTTGTGTATTATAAATAATTATAATATCTCAGGACAATCTACACAGCGCCATCTAGTCCCAAGCTAACCAGAACTCGTATTATAGGTACTAAACAACTGATATATAATAGTTAAATACATGTTTTT